GACTTCGTCAGTATAGACCTCGGGCTTAGGGTTGCGATAAGCGGCGGGGTGGACCCTAGGATCCCCTCTTGGCCTTTCTTCTCGAGGCCTCTTGGGTGTGGACTCCACCTGTGATTCGGCGGCTCCGATATCCTCAAGTATTCCTCGGCGGAGGTCCCACCGAGACAGACTCACCTTTTGGCCCGATTCTGAATTCCCCTTGGAGGCCGAGAACCCACCTTGGCAGTTACGTCCCTCGAGTGAGCGTCTAAGCCAGCCTTTCCTGGAGGGTTTATGCCACGGAGGCCTGGAAAGGTTTTGGCTGGGGACCTGGTCCCCGAGCCACCGACTATGCCCGCCTGCGTTTGCTCATTGCTCAAAATCGTCGAGTCATCGCTGGACCTTGGTGTTTTCCTTCTCAAGCTACTTAATGTGTTTACCCATCCATTTTTTCACCATTTCTACGATATCACGGGCCATGAGGTCATGCCCCCCAAGGCCCTGATCCATAGGGAGCGTTCGTTGCGAGGAATGCTCCCCTCCACCTAATTGGCCCAACAGACCCGGTTCCAACACTATTGGAAGCCGGACGGGCTCTGTGTTCCTTACACACACACTTGCTCCTTCACCCTGAGATCGAGTGTTCATCATCAGACAATCGCTACCGGGAAAGATGCTCTTGTTTTCCACAGACGGCGCCAAATTGCACGGGATAATTTCTGCAATAATTTGAGACAGCGATCTCCAAGTTGGCGAACCTAAAACAACAGGGTTAGAAAAAGGGGGTCAAGTGAGCACCCGGCTTACCCCCTCTGAAGCTTAAGTCAGTCTAAGGTCGAAGCGTTTAGCCCAATGGACAGTCTATTTTTGATTCAAGTTTGTGTACATTTGTCCATTTTTTTTAGGAGTATTTATACATGAAATAACAATAATTGTCAAAGATCTCCAGTCTCATCTGGACATCTTACATCTAACACACCATTCTTCGTGCAATGAGTGTTTTCTACTCAATGTCTCGTCCTATTAAATGCTAGGAAGATGGGATAAATGCTCGGTCAAATGCCGAGCATTTATGCCCCTCCCCTAAGTACCCAAATCCCCCAGATCGACATCTAACATCAACTGAGCATTGAATACTCGGGAGAATAGTTTCTCGGGGGGAGCCGATTGTGTCATCTTGACGCATCAGCCATATATGCATAGACATCATGTATCAGCGCATTTATTTGTCTTGTCACTATCACTCATTTTGCCATAAATGAGGGGTCACATCGCATTAAATACGATGTCAGCTGTCGTACTTGGCTGCTCCGTGTCACCATATCTCGGCTTACCTCCTCGGCGCCCTTTGGACATCCCAGCGGCTTCATTATTCCACGTGTCAACCTGGGGGCCGTAGAATCACCTAGAGTCTTGCCAGTAGTGAAATGAAAAGTGTCATTACGAATAACTTGACCGAGTCGTATCGGACTTGGCCAATTATTTGCCCTACGTTTTATTGTTTCATCAATATTTGCATTGTTGGTTAAAAGTATTTGTCGGAAAAATTGATCAGTGCATTTTCTGAACTACCATGAGAGAGATAGTCATTTGCCCTCACCTAATACGTCATAGAGTTGGTCTCTTCTGCCTCAAGATTAAGAAAGCATGAGCCACCAACTTGAATTCATGTAAAGCGACTTATCGGTGATAAAAATTGAAGAAATGTGTTCGATTAATAGCCAGACATAGTACGTCAATGCTAATACTAATTAAATTTCATTCAAATTTGAATTATAACTTGAATCTTAGCTAATGCTCAATACAGGAGCCGTTACCTAACTAATTTCTACCCTTTCCATACCTAATCTTCCACTCGTGGGGCAATTCCTGCCCAATTTTACCTACTTCTCCAAATGTGTTGCTATTTATGTAATATATATGTGTATATATATATATATATTACTTTTCTAAATAAAATAACTATTGTCAAATTTTTTTTGAAAATCTGTTTTTTTTTTTTTTTTTTTATTTGGGACCCTAGACAAGCCGACACATGAAAATAAATCACTGGATGTGGTCCAAGAAGAAAATCAAATTCTTTAGGGGTACCTTAGAATAGTACCATTTAGCTTGAGAAGCTCATACAGAGATGCCTGGGCTCGTACACAATCAAACCCATAAATGCCAGGGCTCAATTATAGTGGACAGCTGATTTTGGATGATTTACACCCACAAAATAATAAATGCTCTTTTCTTTTATTCTCGTCATTTGTTGTATTTGTTTTTTTTTTTTTTTTATATTATAGTCAGGGATGTCTGAATCAACTTACACTGCACCTCGCTTAATCTCCTTTCTGTCCAATTAAAAACAGATTATCTACGTTAGAATTAAGGAAATCATGAGAGATAAATCTCTTATAAATTGACTCCCACAAAAAAATTGTCAAATTTTAAACTCAGAACGTCTAAATTTACTGTTCGTTTGTTGTACTATTTTTGAGAGTAAGAACTAAGAATATATCCAATAAATTATCCTCCATCTTTCTCAAATCATCTATAATAAATTTAAGTGGGACACTATACTTATTTATAGGTCCCCCATCTATACATGGACGATCTATAATTAAAAAAAATGAAAGAAAGTATACAGAAAAGAATCTTCGTATTTTGTAGGCGTTTACAAAATTTCTGCAAGATTTAATTCAATTTGTGTTCTTCTTCAAGTATTGGGTCATAGTTTACACTACCAATACAATCAATGAGATCACATGAATGCTTAATGCCATTTACAGAAGTTTAGTACAATATAAAACCTATTAATTAATATGTATAGGGTTTCTTCAGATAAGGCTATTACATTTGACTCACTAGTCACTTACCCTGGAATGAAGTCTCTAAATATCATTAAGTAATGATCCAAGTTCACATGGAGTATCTGTCACTACAGTGACAATTTTGCTAAACGGTAACAATGACGAGGTATAATTTTAGATGTTGTGAGTTTGAATTATGACAACTTCTTGAGTCATACTATAAGGGATTTATATATTATAATACCCTAGTCACGATATAAATGATCTGTTTTTGATCGGACCAAAGAAAAAATTATTTAAGATACACGTAAATTAATCCAAACATCCCTAACGATTGAACCAAAAAAGAAAGAGCCAAGGGCCAAGTGGTTTTAGATTCCAATCTTTGCATGTAAAATTAAGGCCCATAAATTATACTGACATCCCCAAGATTTTGATAAGTTTTAAGAAGTTTTCGTTATAGTCGAGAAAAGACAGTAAGATTGTAGATGTTTGTAGTTTTGCTGGCACAATTTCTCAGGATGACATAACTGCATGTAACACATCAAACCCTTGATAGTTCAACGGAGTTGCTTATGTTTTTGCAGTTGTTAATGTTTAGTTATTTGTATTAAAATCAATTGTTGATATAATTTTTTGGTTGGTCGTGAATAATAATATCTAATTGGCCTGTTAACACTTAGGTCCTTGTCTAAGGTCTTTTGGAGGTTAAATCAAGGGCAATGCTAGGTATAATTTGAGTACTTGAGAACACATATTCTTTCAAAAATCTTTTGAGTCTTGTACAATGTAATTGTGGCCTTGTTCTCTTGAAAATTCCATTAACAACTCTCATAAAATATCTTTATTTCATTTTTCAAATGTGAAGGGATCTCTGCAATAATTTGGGGCCAAATAATAAGGAACTTATTCTTTATGAATTTATTAATCTCGTATGTGAATGGTCTGTCTCTGATTGGATTAAGATATGGATTAGTCAAAGTGCGCGTAAACTGACCTGAACACTTTTGACTGCAAAAAAAAAAAAAAACTTTTTCACTATGTGCATAGCACATGCACCTTTCCATGCAAAGTTTGGATAACAACTACTAAGAGCAATACTACTTTGACAAAAAATATTGACAATATTTATTGACTCACAACATTACTGTCATTGATTTAACTATGAATCCCAATATTTATTGGTGTCTATTATCTGTTCAATGATTGTGATGGTGGAAGTCAGTATAATGTATCAATATTGTTTGTCCAAATAACATTTCTCCAACTACTAATTGAATACTCCAGTTCTAGTATGATGACCTACTTTTGACCAAACCGGATAGAGGATTTGTCGAGCTACACATAAGTCGACCTGGACATTCCTGACTATTGAATAAAAAAAAAACTAATTGGACTAATTAAACACAAGTATCAAACTTGATTGGCAAAATTAAAAAAAAAAAGTCGCAGGGCCAAAGTGGAAACAGGTTGATATTTTTTGAGTCAAAAGTGTAATAACTCAATTCACTAATTTGGGTGGCCTAGTCTATCTCAGCTTTTTCTCCCTCCTCCTCTTCTATTTTATTTTTATCTTTTTTGGTGACTCATGTGGGGTGAAAATATAAATTAGCATATCCGGTGGGGGCAAAAACCCTAACTTTAATAGCTAGTAACGGCCAACAACTCGGAGCCTTAAGCGAAAAAGAGACAAAAAGCAGTCCGGGAAAGACTACGTGCAAAGCCTTAGAACTTGTCAATCCCATTTGTTTTTGAAAGCGACTTCCTTTCTACTCTCTTCCTACCCCATCTCTTAGTTTTTTTCTCACCAGCCTCATTTATAGGTACAGTTAGAGATAATGATAGGTCTTGCGTAAATTCATTTATCTTTTCTTTTTTTTTCTTGTCATCTCCGCCTAGATTCCTCCTCCTCTCTCTCTCTCTCTCATCCACAAACACACAGGCACACCCATCTGTACATTTATACATGTATTTAAGTGTATGTGTGTGAGTGTGTGTGTGTTTGATTGCATATAAATATTTGTAACCTTTTTTGTTGAGCAGCACCTTTGTGTCTTCTTCTTTTCTCTCTCTGATCATGTCCCAAAACACCTCCGCTTTATGTACATAACACAGCGTATACCTATAACATAAAGACAGATAGGGAGGGAAAGGGAAGAGAGAGAGAGAGAGATTACAAAAATCTGTTAACTTTTTTTGATAGAACTGAGGTTGTCTCTCACAACCATGGGTTTTCTGACGGCTAAAGGTGTGGTTTACAAACCTGTGGATGATGTCGATCTTGGTCCTCAAAGCGACGAGTTTTATCTTCGAGCCAATGTCAAAGGTGATGTATTTCGAAATTCATATATATATATATATAGGGTGGTGGATGCATATAATTTTTATGTGGTGTATGATGATAATAATTCTGTATGAATTCAAGTTTGGAGGGTGACGACAGGCTATGTGCTTTACACTGGTTATGCTGTTTCTATTTCACTTCCATGGTCTTGATTATTTCTTTCTCAAAAAAGAAATGGTGGAGGGCCAACAAAAAAAAAGAATAAGAAATGTCTTTTTTGGATATAATAGATACTGATATTTGCACTTGAATTCAGTGGCCCCAAAATCCAAACAAAGGTTACAGCTAGCTACCGTGGAATTTGGATTCACTCGATCAAAGTCAAATTTCCAAGTTTTCGATCAAGTTTAATTAGTCAGCGTTAAATTTATCCTACTACATTTCCGCGGAACCTATAAAGATAATGGAATCATCTAAATTTAATTGAAATGTACAAAATTCGAAATCCGGCAGTAGTATTAATTGATCACTTAGAAAAACAATGTATCTGCATCTGATTTGCTTCTTTTAATTGATGCTTATATGCAATGTTTAATGTTCAATATGATTTGCAGCTCCTCGCATGGCTGGACTTTTGGTTAAAGTATTTGCATGGTTCCTGGAGTCTCGGATTTTCGGACCCATTTTGCTGTACATATTGCTGAGGAACAATTTAATCCACAAGGTACCCATTTTCAACTTATGCAAATTGGGGTATTTTTTTATTTTTTTTTTTTTTTTGAGGGGGGGAGGAAAAGGGAAGAGGAAAGGAAAGAAATGAGGGGAAAATCTAGTCATTTTTTCTTGTTTGGTATGAAAAGAAAAGTGAGGAGAAACCTCATTCTTAAATCCCAGAAAAAAAAAACTGATAAATTATAGATCCCCCCCCCCCCCCCCCCCCCCCTTTTCTTCTCTCCCTCTGGTTTCATTCAACGACACTTTACCTCTTTTTTTACTTTGAAATCTGCACTTAACCTCATGTGGTTTGGGGAGGAATGCAATAGTTAGCGAATATAACAATCTAGGATAAAATTACAATAATATCCTTAATTTTTAGTGTTTTTTGAATCTTTTATATTAATTTCTAACCAATCTCATGTTTGGCAAATTCATTTAAAAGCATGGAGGTCCCACAGATTATCTCATGATTTGAAAGTTTTTTTAATTAAATTTGATCATCATATCCTTTAAACAATTCAAGTTTTCTGAAAAATTAAGGGTACAATAGTCTTTTGACAATAAATCCCACTGACTCCAAATTTGATCCAACCCTTAGATGGGTTAGAGAAAATTCACCTACAAAGGAGAAATGTATCCATTCAAATTGGTCCTTGGATAGACCCAAATGAAATATTACATCACCTTAAAATTCATTTTCTTGAAGAGTAAATTATACTTAGACCCCTAAATTATCACCCTTTTTTTTACTTTATCCCTTCCACTACCAGACTTTCACATTGCACCCTTAACTATATGATTAATTTCACATGACCTCAATTATTAATGCACGTTACATATTTAACAGAAAGTTATTTCATTCTGCCTCCCAAATTATGTAATTTTTGTTTACTTTACTCCGACATGTCAACAACTTTCGTCCAAAAAGATAACAGACATTTGTGATTGGAACAATGTGAAACAAAAGTGTTAGTTAAGGGTGCAATATGAGAAACCTGGTAGTTGAGGGGTAAAGGAAAAAAATGTGTAATAGTTGAGGGGGTGTAAGTGTAATTTACCCTTTCTTGAATTAAAATTTCCAAAGGAATTTGGTGTTTATATATATATATATATATATTTCAAGACCATCTACAGCTTGTATATGATTGAAAAGTCTTGGTGACGTATATAAGTAATATGGTGTAGATAAGTGGTCCAGGCTTGCCTTCCTCATAAAATGTCATGGGACCATATGGTAGCCTCATTATTGAGTTGGCCAAACTTGGAGATGCTTTTGGGCATTGCTAGGACACATTTCTATAAGACTGAACTAAGTAATGTACCTTAGCAAATTACACTTTAACTCCCTTAACTATAATATTTTTTTACATTGCCCCCTCAATTATCATATTTTTCACATTATACTCTCAATTATGTGATTAGTTTCACACAACCCCAGTTATTGATGTCTATTACAAATTTGTCGAAAAGTTATTTTATTTTGCTCCTAGAATTATATAATTTTTTTTTATTTCTCTCGACACATTGACAATTTTCCTCCCCCCCAAAAAAAAAAAAAAACCCTTTCAAAAATATTTTCTATGCACAACTCTCTTAATGTCGGGTAATTTAACTAATGCACTCTCCAATGTCAAACATTCTCATTAATCCACGTATCATTCTTTTATTTTCTTTCTGTTCACTTTAATTTTAATTTAATTTTTGATACTGTAGATTATCTTCAAATACGAGTTGTTGCTAATTATTTAATTGTATATTTCAAATTGGCAAACACATATTGGTATTTCCTCTTAGTTGCTGACTAAATGTTCTTTTCTTTTTTGGGTTTGCAGCTTGTTTCATTTGTGGAGGTGAAAGAAGCACCTTTGTACGTTCCTTTGCACCCTTTTGAAGGTGTGGTGTTTTCTTTACCTTTTAAAGTGAATCTCAATCTTTCAAGAATTATGTTGATCCATTATTATTTGCTTCATCCCTTTGTGAGAAAGTCAATAGAACTTGTGCTTACAAGAAACTTAATTGAGCTGGAAACCATGAGTCCCACTCGATGAAGTCCAATATGTGATACTATAATAAGATCTAAATCTATTGTTATATCTAGTTTTTTTTTTCCTGTCAACCATTTCATGCATATCATCGACTATCATTAAGCGATGTTAGGACTTTTATGGGAAAATTATACATTGACCGTCTTAATTATGACCCCTTTTTCTATCATTGTAAGAATTAGAGCCTTTTGAGACAAATTTTTACGGTAGCTATATTTACCGTCATAAAAAATTGTGTTTTGAAGAAAAAAGTTTATTGTGGTGATAGTGTTGTCATAAAATGGTTATTTACTCTCGCAAATACTATTTGAGATAGCTTGTTGATGCGATAAAGACTTTTTTAGACTCCATTTATTATAACGGCCAATACCGCCACAATGGCAGCCATAAAAGTTATCCAAATTATTTTTTTTGTTCATATTTAGGTATCACGTCACAAGTTTATAATAAAAAATCGTTAACAAAGGACCACATAAAAATATATTCAATACTTCAAGGACTAAAATGACATAATTGAAATATTAAGGACAAAAATGAGACAAACTTTATACTTTTGAGGATCTCCAATGCAATTAACCCTATTTTTTTTCTACTCTAATGCAATTGCAAATTGATGTTTGTATGGTCTTTTTATTGCTCTCAAGATGTTTTTGATTTTCTTCCCAACAATAAAAAGTTTTTTAATCATGACAGACCTTAAAGAAGAAGAAGTGAAATGCATCAACTCCGATCTATCTCCACCAGAACAAGTTAAAGAGGCCATGGAATGTGTAGAATCTGCAGAAAATATACTCGAAAATTCAAAAATCAATTTCCGTCGTTGGACAATAATGGATTATGCAAGAGCCTATGAGTCGAAAAAAATAACCCCTCGGATGGTATGTTACCTTAACTCTCTCTACTACTTTCTACTTTCATATTACTATGCATTTATTGTAGACCATGATTCTCATTTCACTTAGTTGAGTCGTTCAAATCATTATCATCGAATTACAATTTACCGTTCGATTTAGTTGTATGTATGATGTGTGATATGATCTAAACATTTTGTCATATTCAATTTTTTTTATATTTTGATACCCTCAACAATGATGTTTTTTTATTTACATTGTCCCTTGAACTAATGGATTTTTCACATTTCCTTGTCCACTATTTTGATTATTTCACATTGTTCCAATCGAGGGCGGCCCAACACATACAGGAGCTGTAGGCAAGGAATTTTAATGGGCCCTATCTATATATAATATTAAAGAATATACATTAATAAATAATAATTAAAATACATACATCTAAATCATATCTTTGTGTTTTGAGCCGCAAAAATAATAATTTTAGAATTTATATCCAAATTTTTACAGGCATCTATATGAGAAAAAAATTGTTGAGTAGCATTACCAACATTCTCTAAACAATACCTGCATTAAAAAAAATCTATTTTTTTGTGCAAGGTAGTGTTTTTAATTTAATGTTAGTTTATGTTTGTAAGAATCTAATCTCTACGTGGTACTTGACGAGTCTAGATCAAACTGGGCCTTTAAGCCCATACCATGGATTAAGCCCAAATTATCGGAAAAGCTGGGCTTAGTTCATGACTTTGGCCTAATCCAAATATCAAGAGTTCAGAAAGGGTCAACACATGCAGGGTAACGATCATCGGGATAATCATGACTTAAAGATAGTGTCTATCCCCAATTGAAGTTATCCTCCCTATAAGACTAGTAGCTTGACTTTAACGTCATCGCCTTATTTAGGGCTCTGTACCTATAAATTGTAGACTTTTTACATAGGAGACATACACTACACCTTGAACTTACTCTTACTCTAACTCTTTCTCTCTCTCCTACTACCCTAATACTCTCTCATTAATAGAATTATCTGGCCACCGTTGTCGCCTTCAATAATTTATTTTTTATTATTTTTTATATATTCGGGATACTTTTCAAGCAGATATAGACTTAAGTTAAAACATATAATCGATTTGTTCCAACATCAAAATTGAAAAAACAAATAAATTTCTAATACAAGAGATGAGTTATAGATTATCGATAAATTTTTGGTACATGAAATAAATAAATTAAATATTTTTGATTGACAACCCTAAAAAAATACTTTTAAAAAATAAGAAATTAAGGACTATAAAGGTTTGAACGTAAACAATTTTTAATAGGAGTGGATATAAATGTTAGGACACTGAGAGAGAGAGAGAGAGAGAGAGAGAGAGAGAGAGAGAGAGAGCTTGTGCCATAACATGTTGAGTACTAATATTTTGGACCCATTGTCTATCATGAATTAAAACTATAGAAGCCCAATTAACGTAAATTATTATAAAACTGTGCAAGGCCAACCATATACAGTGGTTCCCATTTGTTGAAGTCCCACATTTTTTTGTGGTCTGGACAGTTGGCCGCATAATGACAATGAAGTTCTTATACATTGAGTTCATTTCTGGATTTTGGGGCCCTTGAATTCTTTAAATTGTGGGGGGCAATGCAACCACCTAATTGGCCTAGGCCTGGGGCCAGCCCAGTTCCAATTACAAACATTCGTTATCTTTTTAAACAAAAATTGCTATTGTGATAGGGTAAAATAAAAAAAATTATGTAGTTCAGGGGTAAAATAAAATAATTTTTTATTAAATATGTAACAGATGTTAATAATTGGGACAATGCAAAATTAATCACTTAGTTGATAGTGTAATATAAAAAATATGATAGTTGAGGAGATAAAATAAAAAAAAAATCATAATTGAAGGGGTCAAACTATATTTTGTCCCTTATCTTTTATTCCATATCACCTCCTACTATTGTGCGACCAACGTCTCATTTTTTTTTTTTTTGAATTAATCTCACTTTGCATCACAAAAGATATTTTGATTTTAATTTGTACCCTGAAATATTAAAATTTTTAATTTGTACCTTCAATGTTCTGAATTATGATAATGTGCACTTCGCTTAAATTGCCGTAAATTTTTTGTCGTTAATTGAAGCAAGTGTGTTGCAAGTGTTTCGGACATGGACTTGCGTGTAAATTTATAGATTATTGATGCTTTATGTGAGTTGTACCTGATTTTATTTGCATATAACCCTATTTTTGATACATAAAAAAGTGTCAAATTAATTGCAGACAAAAATTTACAACAATTGACATATTTTATCTCTATGCTAAAACACTTGCATCTCACGTGCTTCATTTTATGACAAAAAATTAAACAATAATCTGTGTCAGATCTATATTATTGCTAATTTATAACGTTGAGGGTACAAATTAAAAATTTTTAATATTTAAAGATACAAATTAAGAATTAAAGCATCTTTGATAAACAAAGTGAAATTCAGCCAAAAATCATCTGACATTGTTTTGTACAGGTTGCAGAAAGATTTATAGCTGCAGTCCAAAAATCATCCGATCCTGCACTGCGCATGTCCTACTTTATAAATTACAATGCTGATGATATTTTAACCCAAGCCACCGAGTCTACTCTTCGTTATCAACAAGGTACCCATTGCTCTACGAATTCAACACACAATATAAAAAATTTAATCTTCAAAGGTATTAATGGTTGAATTCTCCAGGAAAACCAATTTCTGCTCTAGATGGAGTCCCAGTCGCTATAAAAGACGAAATCGATTGTCTTCCATATCCAACCACAGGTAATTTCATGTTTGAATGCTCTAAATTCACAAGGGGGTTTGTTCATCCAGAGAAGTATTCTTCTTCTTCACTGCAAGTCCAACTGAGTCATAAATTTTAGTGTGCATATAATCTCTTACCTGACTCAACAATGGTGGTTCTTGAAGGAGGTACCAAGTGGTTACACCAAGTAAGGCCTTGTATAGATGATGCGTGGTGTGTGAAGCGACTGAGATTATGTGGTGCCATACTGGTTGGGAAAACCAACATGCATGAGCTTGGGGCCGGAACCAGTGGGATAAACCCTCATTATGGGTAAGAACATCAACATACTATTTCTTCCTCATCTCTTACCTTAGTCTTTTACTTTTTGTACTTCATCTGACAAAATGGCACCTCTGCTTTCGACTCTTTTAATTCGTGTTGTTAATTTCCGATATATACATCGGCTGTTGGTATAGGCCTTTATGCCTTGTTATGTTTCTCCTCTTTTCTCACATTATTCTTGCAAATTCCAGAAATGTTAGATGGTTTCGCTTAATAATGCAGTTATATATTCCCGTATGACTATTGTAGGACTACTAGAAATCCGTACGATACCAGCAAGATCGCTGGAGGTTCTTCTAGTGGATCTGCTGCTGTGGTGTCTGCTGGATTGTGCCCTGTTGCACTTGGTGTTGATGGGGGAGGTAAATTTGTTTTGATCTTTTATCACTTATTTTTGTAACTAACATTACAGACTTTGATCATGTTCACTTTGTTTGTCATTTGGATTATTTCTCTTTCACTACTAGATCTTCTGATTAGGATTTAGATTACTGGTTTATTTGCTTGAGATGTTGACAAGTCATTTAGGAAAGTTCTGAAAGCTTAAGAAGTTCGGATGGATATGTTCCCATCCGACAATAGGACAGTATTTAGCTTTTGACTGGGACACATCAAGCCCTCATCTTTGGTAGAATCTTGGCGATCTTTCCCATTCGGTTGCTTCGTGTATTGCATCCAGGCCCACTCAACCCCAGTCAGTCCAACTAAATTTTGTGCAAACTATGTGGGGTTAGCTAGACATAGTTTCTTTCAGTTAATGTAACTTGTTTAGTAATGGAAGATTTGGTTTCTTTTGCATGATTTGTCCAGGATCGGTTCGAATGCCTGCTGCTCTTTGTGGTGTAGTTGGTTTGAAGCCAACTTTTGGACGTGTATCACATTCCGGGTGAGTACTATATTATCTGTATTTATTTGTCCTAGTGCCATACACACCATAATATTCAAAGCCTTTTCTTCTTGAATCTTGAAGTATCGCATGTTATTTTTCCAGCGTTCTTCCTCTGAACTGGACAGTTGGGATGGTTGGAATACTAGCGGGCACAGTTGAAGATGCACTTATTGTGTCAGTGTTATTTATTTAGCCGTCAGACTTGATTCATTGAGTTAATGATATTTACTGGGCATCTCTTGTGAGTTATATGACATAATTGCTTTTTGTTCATATTTTCAGTTATGCAGCTATTAGTGGACAACCATCACATCAAGCCACAGCCGTAATGTTCTTATTCTTATCTTGAACTCTAAATCAGGAGAATTCTAGATTTTATCTTATCAAGCCACATGGCTTTGTCCAACTCTTTTAAACTGAAAGCAATGACATAAGGGAGTAAACATCAACCAGAAACATTAAAATAGGATCCCGTCCTGATGATATCTGTTTCTCAAAATCTACACATGAAAATTTCTTGTCAAATCACATCTTACAATTCCTTATGCTTTCTAATCTATGAAAAAGATGGATGATAAATTAAAACTCTTATTTTCTGATGGCTACTACAGGGACAATGTACAAAATCAGAACTTTATACACCATCAAATGAATAATAGAAACAATAGATAAAAGAATTAAAATACGGTGTTCCCTCTCCTGCCGAAAATGTTCTAATATCTGTGCTTGGGGCTTGTAATGAGTGCAATTAGTTGCATCTATCCTCAGTTGCCAACTGATTAATTTTTAAATATTAGACTTTACTAACTCTGACGGTTTCTTGTTTATCGGAGAATGTTTCAGCCAAATGTATGTTTCCCCCTGCTTAAATCACCAAACTGTCTATCCAAGATCAAGCTGGCTAAATCTATGGAGGTTTGTCTCGGTTTCCAAAACTTACACAAATAAAAACCAGTTTTCATGCTTCATGTTCAAATGAATAAGATGGATGTTGGTTAAATTGTGATTCCAGTCTTCTTCAAAACATCTTCTTTATTCCCCAAGCTTGTACTAATAAAATGTTTCTTTGATCAATCAGTGGTTTAATGACTGCACAGAGGACATCAGAGTTTGCTGTTCTCTTGCTCTGGCTGAGCTTCATGAGCATTATGGCTGGGAGGTATTGCATCTTGTCTTTAACCTTGATCTAATGATTTTTGTTCATTCTTTGTGAAGTGTGAGTATACATTGCATATATTAGAAAAAAGGTTCAATAATATAGTTTGTTACCATATTTTTTGTAAATTCAGTTAGTTTATATGCCCACAATGGTTGATTTCTGACATGTCCAAGGTTTTTTATATGTAAGACCATAGAGGTGACTGTGCCAGAGATAGAGGTGATGCGCCTGGCACATTATTTAACAATTGGCTCTGAGTGTACTGCTGCAATCGCTTGCCATCTAGAAAAGTTGTATGTAATTACCCACCAATCCATCTGTTACTTACGCTACATTTTTATTATAGCAAGAAATGAGGAATCTGATGTTGACATCATGCTCTCTCATTGTAATAGGAATAAGGCAGAATTGGGCTGGGATGCAAGGGTGGCACTTTCTGTGTATGGTGCTTTCAACAGCAGGGAGTATATAAATGCCCAGAGAATTAGGTACAGGCTCTGAACAGATTGATTTTTCTTCTCAATAGCATTACAGATTAAGAGCTTATACTAACTACTACGTATTTCGAATGAAATCAAACTTATTGGTTACTCTGACTTGTATTTTCTTTTCTTCTATAAGGAGATGCATAGGAAATGAGCCTATGAAAGACATACCCTTGTGTGGCAAGGAGGAAATGGACAAAACCCAAGCTTTCTCCCCCCCTCCCCATCAAAACAAATAGACCTTCCATTTTGCTGTTGAACTTATCTCTCTTGTGACCCTCCAAAACCCTTTAAACTTCTGCATTGTTACCCACAAAGATGCCAAATTACGTGATGATAAATATTATGAAGTGCATGTATACATTAATAATTTTGTTGTGGATGGGAGAAGGACCATGTACCGTTCTTCACACAGCCGCTTAGAAAAATTATGAAAATGTGGAAGAGTAGAGATTTTGTTACACCCTGGATCTAGATACAGAAGGGAACAAAGAAATTCTAGTTAAGAGACAGAAAGAGCTGATAAGAATACAGATCAAACACACTCACTGTTGCATGGCAACAGCTAAAAGAAGCCATCTTCTTGAGGATCAACTTCTCCTCACAATGCCACAAAACAAAATAAGGCAGCACACAATTTTACTCATGGAAATTTCATTATCTTATCTGAGGGGAACAACTAAATCCTTGAACTGAAGTATTTGGAAGAAGATACTATATGTTATATATTGATCCAAATATTGGAATGATCAAGACTTTGAGCACGTCATGCTATCTAATTTTGGAAGTTCAAACTCATATTCTGTTTAGATGCATCCTATTTGTACACAAATGTGTATCGTGTTATTTGATTGGTTTTCATGACATTGACCCTGAGATTTCATTTCTGACAGGAACCGCCAGATGCAGTTTCACCAAAAAATATTTGCTAAGGCAGATGTTATTGTTACACCAACGACAGGGTATTTTCTCCTGCTTTGATTGCATCTTCGGTGTGCCTGACATGATTTGCTCTGCTTTATTTGTCAAAATAGCTGTGTTGGATCTCCTATTTTTTATTAATAAATAGCTGAGTTTCCCATAGTCATTTAAGTTGTTGAGCCAACTCAAAGGGAAGGTAAGGAAGACATCAGAATGCGTTCACTTAGTGATCCTTGCTCACCTGCTTGCATCAATATAATTTTTGTATGACTTCACCTAATACTTTAAACAGAGTAACTGCATACCCAATTATGGATGATGCCCTGAAGACTGGTGAACTTGACTACATAAATGGAGGTATGAAGTACCTGACAGTACCAGTCCAAATATTTTGACTTTTCTTTCATCATCCATATTTCTGGTTCTTCATATTCTTTTTGTTTATTTTTGATAAGTTTATGGAAGACTTAATTAAAGGCGGAAATGCAATTGGTTTCTTGTTGTCTCAGCTGCACTTGTACGGTACCAGATAGCTGGAAATTTTCTGGGATTGCCTGCAGTGACTGTTCCGGTAATGTCTGTCAGCTATGTTTTTGTCTTCCAAAATTCTCTGTCAAACCTGTTATTAACATAAATAGATCGTCTTTTATAAGTGTATGCAGACAGTAAAACAACAAACTTTATACGGGCTTCTCTCTGATGACCAAAGTTTTCCTTGATAGGTTGGATATGACAAATCAGGCTTGCCCATTGGCCTCCAATTTATTGGGAAACCATGGTCTGAATCAATGTTAATCCACGTAGCGTTTGCAATGCAGGTTGGTTCCCATAGTTCTGAAATGCTGCTTATTTATTTTTGGACTCTAAAGTTTCAGTGATACAAACATGGCAAACTTATTATACATGTATATCACTTCAAGAAATAGAGGTTTTAGCCACGGCACATTGCTATGGCAAGAAGTAAAATCACCATGGCAAATACTTGTAGCCACAGCATTGCATCAACCTTGCAGACATGGCAATAGGCTATGTCGCTGAAAGTATTTGCCATTGCATGCGCGCTGTAGCAAATATCACAAACATCAGAATTATGATTGTACTCCACATTATCAGGATGACATTTCCTACAATTCTGCTCTTTGAAGTCATAATTCACTAACTTACCCAAAAGTCATAATTCATTTCGTGAACGAAAAATACAATTGAACGTGTCTCAATGAAGTGCGAGCTATAAAAGATTTAAAAAGTTTTGTCAGTATGGATAAAGATTGTGGAGTTGGTTAGCAATCACCTCTGGAATATTCCATGTGGTTTTCCTCCTGCTAAGATATTCAATCCACCTTGGGAATCCTGGTGTCCTAGCTTTCAGAAATGTCAGCTCCAGTTCGACACTTTTAAGTCTCTCCAAACCAGCATGTCTGCAACCAATTTCCACTGCTTAATTCCTTCCTCGGTCTCTATGCAGATAATGTCCAAGAAAATGAAGTGAACAAAATCGAGAATTGTAGTAATCAAACATGAGGATCCATTTGACACTGAACAACCAGATTTAGTCTTATTCAACACCCGAATATACTGTTATACTTTCCGTGTTCTTAATTTGTTTCAACACTTTTTAATCTACTGTCAACTGTTCGAAATTGTCTGTTACTTTGTAAACAGGAATGATGTCTTAACCAGGTCGAACAAGCACCTAGTTCCTAAATGAATTATTAGTCGTAGAATATTATTCTTGTCACACTTAAACCTAAGGAAAATATTAGGCAATTGTATTCAACATTAACTTATATTTCTAATTGGTTACAGGCCCTGTCAGAGTGCAGAAAGCCAGAGGTTTTGTATGATCTGCTCACTAAGGATTAAAAGCTCCAGACAACTCAACAACAGACATACTGGGATTATAGACTTGGGAGGACTTCTTAATGGATTGGTACATACAGAGAAGTGTGCCAAGCAACTGAGAACTTTATTGTCATCTCTCTTTATTGTAAATTGAAAGCAATAAATTGAACTTACAACAACAAAAAAAAAAAAAAAAAAGTTAAGACATGAGGTCAGCTAAAATCAATCACGTCGTTTAAACGATAAGCCTCTTGTATTATTATTATATTTTTAATGTTCAACAGTCAGGGGTGTCTAGGTTAATTTACGCATTCTTCGACTAATTCCTTCTCCGATTTGGTGAAAAACAAGTCATTCACGGCAGGACTAAGGTATTCATGAGGATAAATTTTTTATTGCCTGATTTTAAAAAATTGTTAAGATTCGAATTCAAGACATTTAGGTTTATAGTTCGCCCTTGCTACTACATGAATTACCTTTGGAGTTGCATTGAATATTTTTTCCACCTCCTGTACCTTTGGTCAAAAGACAAATAAATTTCCTATCATTTTTGCTTGAAAATGCTCAGTCAAAGTTAGTGGAAGGTATGACTCACATGCCTATGTATAAAACCATTTTTTAATTAAAAAAACAAAAACCCTTACAAAATTTGATTTATATATCAGAAATAGATATTGAAAATCTTTTTGGAGGAAAAAAAAAACCCTAAGTCTTCCAAAATTTGTTCAACAAGTGGACACCCACACATCATGTGATTCTCATCCTGACCTTGCCTATATTTCTCTGTGGTGGTGACACATCATAGAAACAACAACGGGTACAATCAACAGTTGGGGACACCAATTGCTGTAATACCTGTACAATAGTGGTTTATTTCCTTAATATTACTGAAAATCCATTCAATACCTACATAATTAATAGATGAATGAGTTCTCTTGATTGGCAGTTTTTGGTATGATTTTATTTTATTTATTTATTCATATTAATTAGGATTGATCATATCCCCAATGTGGTCCTACTGTAGTTTGGTGACAAAGGGATGCTAATCTATGATACTTTAAGGCTTATGTACTTCACTGTTGTTATCCCCACTGAAATTAATGATTTAGGAATTTGTTTTAAATATGAACAAATTATGGTTAGTTTGGTATATTAAATAAAGAGATTTAATGAGATTGATTCAAGCCAAACAAATCTAATACATGCTTTCTTATTTCATCAATGAATTTGAGCAGATAAAGAAAAGTGATTCAAGGCTCAATCTGTAAATCCCGAATTTAAATCTTTTGTAATACACTTTCTTTCGGTTACATTTAGTATTGACGGGTTCTTAATCCCTACAACACAAGGTAAATCTCGGTTTAAAAAGTTATGATTATTTGTGTGTTTTCATATTATTTGTTGTTATCCAAGTGATAATGAGATGCCCTCCGTATTAATGAAATTGATGAGCATTAATTAGGTGGGGTTGAGCCTTGTGTGTGTGTGTGAGAGAGAGAGAGAGTGAGATTTATTTGTTTCCCTCTCCCAAACAAACGATGCATAGCACAATTGCTACTTTACCTATTCCATTCCCCACTATGAGTAATGATGTACTTTTTTTTAGGGTTACAATTTTTGGTTGAACATAAAAATGCGAATCGAACTTCACACAAAATTAGTTAGTTAGAGTTGATCTTTTCTTAATACGAATCAGTAAATAATACAATTTATTAACACGAATAATAAATGAGTTGAATTAATGTCAAATACAAACAATACGAAATTAACACAATTAACATGTTTAACTAATATTATAGAATTAAAGACATTTTTACTCATTATTATTGTTATGTTTATTAAGTTGATTTTTAATTTATAGAAAAAGTATAAGTATTGATTCAATTTATTATAGTCTTAGATTTAAAACTTAGCATTAAGTTCTTTATTCAAAATTTATATGAGTCAACAAGATTCCGAACTCGAACTCTACACGAAAATAAACAGATCAATCGACACGATGCGATTAGTTAAAAAGGTTGGGTTAATGTTGACTAATACTCGACGCCAATCCACAATGACAGGACAATTACCCGATACGATTTTTACCCTTAGTTTTATTGGAATTATTGAATTAAGAAAATGTTAAATAGAATTAAAAAATTAACTTAAAAACTTGATTTGATGAACCAACATTATTGAATATGTAATGTATTCTAATAAATAATGGGATTCACAGTTAAATTAATGACAAATATAACAGTTATATCATTAAATTAAATTTTTAAATCAATTTTTAAGTCATTGCTCGTTGAATTAATACTAAATTTTAATATTTAATAACATCCACAATTTATTTAAAAATCTTATTAAATTGAATTAATAAATTAGTTCGTTGCTCGCCTACCGAATGTACACGCGACGATGACGTAATCTACGAGAAATTCAGAGGTTTTTGTGAGTTTGGAACACCTATCGAATCTGTGTCCAAAGTATACACGCCCACATACTCCTACACACTTATACCTGTTACGTTGTTCACTTCTCTTTTAGATATGTAACTCTTCTCATATTTACTCCATATTCTCTCTCTCTTTCTCTCATCCCAAAACCAAATCCCAAAGCCTCCTTCAAAGAGCTCTGTTGTGTTCCAGCAAAGATTCTCTCTCTTCAGTATCTTCAATCTCCGCCGACGCCATGGAAGTTGACAGTCAGACCAACCAAGGAAACGCAGATGATAATGCAGCGTCCTCCAATGGCGAACCACCTTCTCCAATCGTTATTTCAAGCGGTGATGACACATCTGAATCTGATGACTTCGATGAAGTCATCGGACCAGAGTTTACAGAATTTAGTGTTCCGGTTGATATAACCACCAACAATGAGGATGAAGACAATCAGCATGGAGAGATTCCCACCGGTTTAAAGGACGACGTTCTTCCCTTTGAGTTTCTCAACACAGATCCGCAGGATATGTTTTTTTCTTCTGAATATGATTATCCAACTTTCGGTATATCGTTCGTTCAGCTTTATGAGTTTTTTTCTTGAAAATTCCATGTTCTACGCATTGGGTGCATGCATGAAGAATGATCACACATATGATTTGATTTCAGTGTTTTCTCATGCTTTTTTTTCTGTGTGTGTGTGCTGATTTTCTCAATGATCAGAAGATTGCAAAGATTTTTCTTTTTCAATTTCAGAAACTTCTAAAAATGATTTTCCGAATTCGATAGTACATTAGTACCCTTTTTGGTTCAATGTTATATCTTCAGTTACTTGTTCTTGATCAGCTTCATGAGTGGATCCAACGTATAGATTATGTATAAACATATGATCTGATTTCAGTGATTTCCGATACTTTTGTGTGTGCTGATTTTCTCAATGATAAGAAGATTTCAATCACTTTACTCCATTTTTTTTTGTCGTTTTATGATACTTCAGATATGAATATCCGAATTTCGGTTATACCCTTTTTGTTCATCTATATGTATTTCTTGGATATCTTCAGTTACTTGTTCTTGATCACCTTCATGCATGGACCCACTACATGATTATGTGTAAACATTTGATCTTTTTGGGTCAAGTATAAGCCTATGATCTGATTTCGGTGATTTCTGATACTTTTGTATGTGTGTGTGCGCGTGCGCTTATTCTCTCAATGATCAAAAGATTTCAGTGATTTTTTATTTTGTTTTCGATTTTTCATAGGACCTTACCTTTTTGATGGCATTGAGGGCATGCCACAGGAAGAAAATAATGTAGATCTGCCACCACCAGGAATGGAGTCCGTTCTAGAACTGCAAGATTCTCTGGCGATTCCGATGATTCCGGTACCCCCGAGTTCAACTTTGGACTCAAACAATCTGAGCTACGAGCAGTTTTTGCATGCCGGAGATTACCAAGGAGGTCCTTCTGGTGATTGGGATATTTTCTCAGGTGACAAAACTTATTTACTAAACTCACATTGATTTCAGAGCATTCTTTTCTGCATTTTTTGTAGGTAAATAAAATTTATTTCTGCAAAAAATAAAGATATTTCAATGTAACTCAAAATGAGGGTACCCAGAGCCAATCTCATTCGAGAAGAGCTCTTCACAACCTAGCTAACATTAGGATCCAACAATATCTCGATCCGATCAGGTTCAAGTCTTGTCAATGTCCATGAAATTTAGTTATTGACAGTTAAATTTGTTAAAGACCGCAAAATTTGATAAACTCCATTACCTAAATTTTAGATAATCTTTTTATACTTAGTATTAATGTAGCAAAACAATCAGCACACTGCACTATCTAGATTAGGTTATTTTTTTTTAAAAAAAAAATCAATTTCTATAAAGTTTAGTTATCGATCGTTAAATTTTGTTAAAGACAATTGAATTAGTTAGACTCCATTACAAGGTGCCTATGTGTCTCATTGATGATTAATGATGGGGTTATGAACACATAACAAGTTTTGTCATAGAAAGAAAAAAACATTTTAGTTTAACCCAAATGCTAGCATATGAGAAGGTTTAATGAAAATACTACATATCACAAAAATACAAGGATGTAATAGAAAGAAAAAACACAATTACAAAGTCCTCCATGTTCTAAAGATTGATACTCTTAACTTACAACTAGCGAGTTCATACACTTAACTAAGCTCCTTAAAACTAAACTAAAAAACTTATTTTTTGGAAATTCAACATCAATTCTATTAACCAAAACGTAAAGAGATTAGATTTATCACGCCTCTTAGAGATTCACTAAACAGGAAGGCAGATGTGACCAATTCGTTACGATTGCTTGAGAGGATTACAAGAGATGCCCCTGCCTAGAAAGGACCAATTAAAATGAGAGATTCTCGGAGATCGATTGAGCGTTTTACCTTATTTTAAGTATTTCTTCAATATATTTAATTATGTTTACCCTATTTTTTTGACACATCAATTATTTTACACTTGTATCAAATGAATATGAATTTTTGACACATTTTTGACAGATCATGTACCTATCTAGATAATCCGACAAATAGGGGACATAGGCCAGGTACCAATATACAGATTTGGAGTGATGCCCCTACAGATAATTGAGTATCACCCTTGTAAGAAGACAAGTTTCTTTCATTTGTCAAGTGATCACAAGGACAAAAAAAACTGTGACTACACAAAATTTTGAGGGAAGTAACAGCCTTGACCCATTACTTCCCTCCAAAACCTGCACAATGGCGTTAAACAAAGTAATTTGATCCCTGTACCTGTTAGCATGACCCATTGCTTCCCTTAAAGATGGAGTAAACTGCCACTAAGATACTACACTTCTTAAAGTATTATCTTTCCCGGTGGTTAGTTGCTGAGTTCGAAGGAGTAGTCGGTATATGTTTGAACACCTTATAACAAAAAAAAATTACTACCGTTCCCTTGGAGGCTTGAATTAGCTACAATTGTGTTCCAAGAACCTATTAAACCTTGATCACCACATAACTGCATATCTAGACCAGATCATCCTTGAATAATGGCAAGCAGACAACAAGTGAAAATGACTTTCTAGAGCTGGTCTACATAGCAGGCATTCTAGTCCCACATTATTTCCAAAAGCATGCATCCTATCATTGGTACTCATTCTGCATCTACTGAAAAGTGCTCTCAGCTTTCTGTCCAGACCATTCTAAAAAATGATTCTCTCTCGACTAATTTTTTATCTCTTTCTCAAATCAATTACGTGTGTTTGGTAGGGTGGATGTAAAGTAGAAGTGATACACTTTATATTCTTTAAAAGAGAAATCCTTCTTTCCCTCCTTGAGGGGTTTGGAAGGAGGGATGAAAAATAAGAAAAATTAATTTTTGTGTTTAGTATGAATGAAAAAATTGATGGAAAAAAAAAATATAGGTGCATATTTCTTTAATTTTTTTGGGCAAATAAATTAAATGTATTCTAAGATCTTCATGAAATACATGACCAGTATCTCCAAAGAGATTACAACAAACTAATTACCAGATTAATTAGCAACAAAGACAGGAAGCAAATAAAATAAGCAACTAAATAAATCTCGAGAGGGTGTTGGATGTGCTCAGTAACCCCCAAAGATTTGTACAAAAAGTAACATTAGGGAAAGGGGTTAAGCAAAATGGCAGGTGTCAATCAATGGGTAGTTGCTTATTAACAGACCTATCCTTAATCTTCAAGGAAGTAAGTCTATTTCTGGTGGTGCTGAGGATGAACTTTTGAAGGGTAGCAGGATCCCTATAAATCTCATATAATATAATTGCAAGATAGAGCTTTCAGATTATATTTTGGAGGCCTTTACCTTTCCAATAGCTTGTTGACCAGTTGATGAACTGCTGCAATGGAAGAGCCTGCAAGGGGACATGATAGATTTACATATTCTGCTTGTAAAGAAGCACTCAAAGAAGAGATGGTTTATGTGTTTCTTGAGTATCTCTACATAATACGCATACAAAACCTCTGATTACAAGCCATAAGATGAAGTTTGTTCTTGCCTTCTAGGGATATTCTGACTGTACCATACCAGTGACACCAATTGACTTCTTGTTTCTTGTTTCTGAGCATTTCCAAGGTTGATGAAGTAGAAAACATCCCATTAGATGTGAGCATCCATTTAGTCTTATCTCCCATTTCAGAATTGGGAGCGTAGTTTGGCAGAGAAAGCTGTGAGTTAGAAGGAAGACTAATCATTCCCATTTTCCATTTTTACCAAATGTTTGAACTTTAAATGCGTACACCCAAATATAGATAGTCAAGAAGTAATAAATCTCGGTGAAGTCTGAGATCGTACTACAGGATCAAAAGCAATTTAGGAATGGAATAAAAGAGAACAGACAAATATTGAATTAACAGTTGGAATTTGTTTGGACAATAATTGCAAAATAATTTAAAGTAAATATCAATTGGAAAGGATGATCATTTAGCTTCGTGATTTGGATCTACTTCTATTCATCGGATAATTATGATTATGCACTTTATAATAACTCAGTTGATTTCCAACTTCAGTGCAGACACCAAGAAAATATAACTTCAAAAATAATTAGTTTATGATTCATCTAAAAATAAGATCTAAAAAACTAGTTTTATAAAAGTTGTAGAGAATTATAAGTATTGAATATACCAAGAACTCAATCTTGTTAATAAACAATCAAATAATTATATAGAGTATAAAATTTTACTAAAAAAATTTGATCAATCTTGGATAAATAGAGATTGAAGATTAAATTCAAGAAGAGAATTTCATAAATATAACATCCAAATAAAAAAATCATACATCCATACCCTTAGCTAAAGAATACAAACGAATCTACTCACTAGGCATGGTATATCTTGAAAAACTCTGAAAAGACTAATGTAAAAACTAAGAGGAGATCTAAATTCCCCCAACATAAGAGATTTCCTATATATATATATATAAACACTATGGATCTATGGTAGGTTTTAGAAGAAGTCCCTGCCAAAAAGGTGACTTCATAGGGCGAATTTGGTGCATCAAGTTCAAAAAGGGGCATTTGAACCACAAACAGGCGTTTAGACAATTCAAACTCTCTAGACCTAAATACATAGACAAGTTCGGACAATAAATAAGCGTTTGGAAATTGTGTCCGATTAGTCTTCTTGTCTTGGAAATTGAGCATCTTCATTTGACAATGTCAAAATCACTCCTTTAATGACTGCGTCCGGATACTAAACACGCGTTCGGACGGTCCTTTCTTTCTGGAATTCCTCCTACTTCCTCGTTTTGTGTGATCTAATGATTGGGATGTGTTAAGACAGCTCTATTTTTCTGCCCAAAATTCCAATTTCATCATCAAAATGACCCAATTCAACTATAATCCTTCCTCAAGTGTTGGCTCCATTTGATTGTTCAAAATTTCTTCTAAATCAATCAATCTACTGAAAAATAAGACAAACCACTAGAACAAGTATCAAACTAGAAAATTAAGAAACATAATACATATTATCTCAATTATCATGCTATTAACCCATCATTAAATATAATAAATTATAAATTTTTATTTTTCTATTTTTTTATTCTTTCATTTTTTTCATTATACTAAACAGAGCATTAGACTCAAACTCAATTCCAATGTTTAAGCAGTAGAACGCCAGAGGTGCCATGGATTTGATCCTGAGAGTCTTGTGTAAAGTTGTTATGCATATAATTTTAGGATAGTAAAATTGGGGCAAGCAACTTATGGAAGCCATCATTAGTGCAAAATCCAAACATATTTGTCTACTATAATTGTTATTGTTGATTCTATGATCTTTCCAATTACCAATTTACAACTAGATGTCCACATGGAATGGGGATCATTAATGTAAAAACTTGTTGTGAAGCTCTATCATGGAAGTAGGTACATTACCGTTTATCAATACTGTAATCCTAAGAAGCAGATAGAAATGATAGACCAATTTTAGGGCTTACGATTCTGATTTGATTTTCATTCAAAGTTTTAGGAAAGTCTGAAATCTGATGTTTAATTCTAAGATAAGTTTTTGTTCACTTAAATTGGCTACCAATATATTAAAGAAAGTAATAGTTAAGAAGTCTATTAACCTTTATGAAATTGTTTCAGTGATCAAGTAATATCGGATCATTTACATAAGATGTAAGAATAGTTTCCCTAAAAGAGTGTTGCAATAAATAAACTACCTTGTTTTCATTATAGCTTGAATATCCAACCCCATAATTCATAAAAAATCAATCTTTTTATTCGAAAAGCAAATTGAATTCGCCATAGATGTACATGTATCAAGGGGGATGCCCTTTAAAACACAACATGCTGCATTATTGCAGTTTTGCACAAAAGCAAAGAAGAATAAACCTCCATGAGAAATTGAAATATGAAGAAAGTGCAAGCCTTGAACTAGTACTTTCACTAGATTCCTACATCAATCAAGTTAAAGTACAGTTGTGTAGCTACCCAAATCTAGAAACAAATTGCATATTAAGATTGAGGTTTTCACAAGGCTACAACTT